ATAAATACGCCTCTGGTAATATTAAAATCAACAATACAAAATGAATTCTCATGAACACAAAACTGCAATGTTATAAATACAATATTAATTCTAGAAGCCGGCCAACGTTTCACATTTCTTATCACAAAACACTATACGGATTTTTCTCCCCTATTAACAGAGCACTAGTCTCCTGTAATAAATTACAAAATAAATTTGATATTTTTCATTCCTCTCAAAAAGTGATACAAAATAATATATTTTCTTTCTAATAATTTTTTTTCTATTTTATTATGTTGAATACAACTAATAAAACCAGAGTGTAAATATATTTAATTAATATTGTATTTAATGCTATGATGTTTTATGTGATATGTTTTTTTTTTTTTTTGTTCAAACTAATTTAAGTATCTAATTTATTCTGTACTGATTGCCTTCGAGCGTGTATTTCAAATAAATAAATAAATATGAAATTTTCATTTTGTATCAGAATGATTTTCAGCAAATGTCAACAAATAAAATGGTCAGTTTTTTAGAAACTAAATTCCCATTTTATTAGAATAGTGATTATAGTGATTATGYTAACAGTGACTCGACAAGAATCCACTATGAAAGGATTTTCTGAAGGCCTAGGTAAGTAATTATGATTTGATACAATACACTATAATTTAATGACCAAACAATTATTTAGGTACTRTGAACCTTTTACTGAAAAATATTGTTAGGTAGACAATGAAAATATTTCTTATTAAGCATGGTAAAAATTGGCTAATAGGTACTAAACATTTAAACATAATATGTTTTTGCACACTGAATACCAATAAGATTGTTAAATCTGTATACGCATACCTAAAAATTAAATGGGAACTTTAGAAATGAAAAGAATGCAAAATAATGTTTTTATGATTACATTTTTGCTAAATATTTGGAATAGTTAATTTCTGCAAAAAGGCTGAATGTTTCTTACTTTTCCTGATATTTAAAAAAAGATTTAATGTAATTATTTAGGTAACACCCAAATATAACTTATTTTCTTACCATAAGTACATACAATATACTAAGTTATAGTTATAACATACTTTTTTATCAGTTTATACAAACCATCACACATTACAATGGTWACAAAAACTTATTTAAAACATTTTATTTTTTTATGKTAGTACCTACCAATTCAAATAATTTAAGTTTTAACCGTATACTTTATAAATGTATATGGTAAATTAATAAAGAATTTAATTATAAATAAAGAATCAATAATAATATTTTATTATAATAACTTTTATGTCAAAAACATTTTAAACAAACCACCTCACATATGGATGAACATATGCACTAACATTCAAACATAAATTTACTAACCTTTTTCGCTGCAATTTGTACTTTAGAMTGTCCAACTGGCCATAATATATTGGACAAAAGAATGTGGACGATTTTTCGGTCGTTTGATGTGCGTACGGAATAATCAAACGGTGTTAATTCGTGCGGGGATGGAGTGCAGTGAAAAACTGAAAATAATGGATGTCCAATAGTAATAATAATWATTATTATTATTATGTTCGTGCTACGTAACGCGACAACGGGGGAGTTTTAAACTAATGAATAAAAGGCCTTTGTTATGCCATTCTCTATCAGTGTGAATGTTTAGAACACCATAGGGGACAAAAAAAATACAAGACACGACTGTATATGTATAATAATATTTATATTATTTATTATTGGCAATGTGTACATTTCGTATCACAAAAGGCATTATCAGTGAAGGTCTTCTTTGATAGCGTATGGCGAGAGTCGCGAGACTGCGGCAGCAGCTGTTAAGCGGAGTATCGCAGCTGCAGCGTCTTTGAATGAATGGTAACTTGTAAGTCGTAACTGCTTCACGTTTGAWCGAATTGATCCACAGATATATTATTTTAATATAATAACAATTTAGATTGTTAATAAGACACTACACAGTGATGTTTATTATATTGTGAAGAAAAGTTCCGCCGTTTTATCTGAGGCTGCGAGGCCAGGCTGAAGTATTATCACTGATTAAATAATATTAAGCAAGGTGGATAATAATAATATTATTATAATTAATATAATCCACCTTGATATTAAGTATATTTAATCAATGGTATTATCAATGATCACAGTACTATCACAGAATATTTATTTYGTGGTGTCATATTATCTTGTATCATAACATTCATAACATTCAAATATTTCAATATTTATTAATTTAAGATATAAAAAAACAAAAAGGTAAATAATAAATTGTCATCTTTATTACAAACATGATAATATTTCATTAATTAAAAAAAGATCATACATTTTTATAAATAATAATGTTATAGATACTTATACTTAACCTTTTTTTAGGAACTACAAAATGATGATCAAATTGTAAGTCACAAATATTTACAAGACAACACACGGTGTCAGGGGAGGCAGTATATGCTGATCTACGGTTTTTGGAATATAACAAAAGACATGCATGATTGGATGCCGGTTGTTGGAAATACAGATCTGAAAGATGTTCATTACATATATTTGTTCTATGTATTATTTATTAATGTTATATTTTTAATACTTATAATTTTCCAGTAAATATATACATGAATATTATGCGCTTAATATACATTGGTATGAATACCAAATTATGAGTTTTATATGATGGAATTTGGTGCTTTATTATGATAATTTATGTGTTCTTCTTGTCCAAAATATAAATATTTCACAAAAATTAATTGTAAATAATGCATATAAATAATAATCTGTATATATTTCATATATTCTATGAAGTAAATTTTCCTTAATATCACTTGAAATTCCAAAGAAGGCAACCATACATAGTAATAATACTTTTTATAAATATTATTAATTATTTAAACCAAAACCCATTTGCTATAATTGCTGCTTATAATAAAATTGTCTCTTCCTCTCATTTCATATACCATATACACAAGAGTAAATGTACGTCTTTAATCAAAACAGTGGTTTTGTAATTCTGGATAATAGCAGGGAAATATTTTTTTTTTTTTTTTAATGTGATTGTTTTTGTTTAGATAGTACTTAAGTGTACAGTTGGGTTCGTTAATTTGTATTTGTATATTGTATATATTTAATTACGTATATATATTTTATTTTTTTTCATAGTAGTAATAACTAATAGTTCAAAGACAATTAATATGAATATATGATATCTTTGGCACTTATCGTTATCATGGTCTCGAGACGTTTGATACTGCTTCACTATCATTATTAATATTACGACCAATCAGGTGGCAGGACGTGAAAATCCATAGTTTCACATCGGACGACTCGAACAGTCTGATTTGTAAATAGTTAATAGATACTGCGTTGTATACTTGTATACGTAATCGTTCATTTTTTCACTGCTGTTTCAGACCTCGCCACCTCGGTCGTTTCACTTGCTGACTCGCTCCATTGCTCGCCACTTGGTCAAGTCACACGGCAGTCCTATACGACCGTAGATACGTCCCGGACATTGATTACCTGTTTTTGATCACTACGCTACAGTCGTTGTTGGTGATTTTCCCGTCTAGCTCGTTCAAGTGCTCATCACTCGTCTAGAACACTCCACCATCGGTAAGTTGTTCCTTTGACACATTCCATTACATCAGTTGTTCATACACCATTCTGCCATTGTGTGAATACCAATGACATTGTGCCGCGCTCTAATATTTTTAATAATTATCTGCTGCACGGATGCGTGGTATTTGTTCTCGCGCGTTTGCATTAATTATCATCGATATGTCTTACACTCGTCGTTGGCTAGCCTTCTTGTACTTAATACGTTTTCCGGAGGCCGCCGCCTTCTCTTTGTTAGTGTTATGTTTGTATTAATTGATAATATTGATATACAGGGTGATTCTTATTTCTTTTATCAAACTACACTCATTATTTCAAAAACTATTGACTTTTTTCAAATTTTTTTTTTCAAAATTGTAGATCCATCTTGTTCTAGAACTATATATTTTTAAAATATTTTCACCCTTATATTTATCAGGTAAAACATTATCAACTTTTGATTTTTAAATGACAACCTATACTTAAAATTTCATAAACTAAAAAGGCTATTTTTTCAATGAATTTTCACGTTTAAATTTTCATTTTTCGTTAATCCGTTTACAAGATATAGCCTCCCTAAGTTGGGTGGTTTTGAGTGGTGTTTGTGTGTTATAGGCAGTGCTGTAGTGGAGGGTATACGACGGTATACGCCATATACTTTCTGGTTATTTCTAATAAACTCTGTATACCTTATGGAGCTTATGGCTGATTAAGGTTGTATACTCTCYGTTGTAATGAAATTACCAAATAATATAAATATTATAAAAGTCATTAGATTATTATTAATATTGAAAAGAAATAATTTAACAAAATCGGAATCCAGACAACATTTATGGAATATT